TTAAGTCCAGCACTGTTATTTTCTGTTGTTGGTTCTAAACTAAATAATGGTTTACTTGACCACTTTAAGGAGATATAGGAAGACTTTTTGCATTAGCATTTGAGAATAGAACTGGACATTTCTTTGATTTTTAAGAAAAAAAAATTTTTTTTTTTTGAATCAACTAGTCAAAAAGTACTAATGTTGCTGAACACTTTATTCTGTACTGGATGCTGGTTTGGATTTCTCTGTAAGGAAAACAAATTATCAAGAAAAGCCCCCTCTCTCAGAATTCCCATCCAGCAATACTAAATACTTCTTTCTAGCACTGAGCAGTTTGAGATGGAAACAGCATAAAACACCCCCTCTCCCCATCACTATTTTTCTGCCTAAAGGATCACTTGCATCAAACTTTTCAGGTCATTTCAGGACTGATGAAATAGAAGATCAAGTGAGAAAACCATTTTTTTTAAATAGCAAACACAGGTTGTGGCCAATAAGCTGACAAGTCAAGCTCCAAAGAAATAGCCAAGACCATCACAAGATCTCTGAGAAAAGCCCTCAGCAGGAGGCACGGAAGCCTTTTGTTCTCCACCTTGGTTTCATCGCCAGGCAGCATCCACCCATGATAAACAGGAGCTATGAATTAGGGAATTAACCGTTTAAGGATTAAGTTTTGACTGGCGCAACTGCGAGCAGTAATTCCAGATTTCTCTTATCCAATTATGATGATTATGAAAGAGCTTCTTGTGAAGCTATCAGCAGTTTAACAGTGTTGTTTTGAAACCTTAGGTTGAAACCTATGCCTACTTCATAAACAATTATCCATCCTCCTTCTTTTTCTTCTTCTTCATCAACACCAACATCACAGAAGGCAATAGTGAAAGATAAATATATTTTGTCTAACCATCAACATATGGGGGAAGGGGAAGGAGCACATACACACTCATAATCACTCCCTCACTCCCTCCAGTATTTCAAGTTAAGCAGGAATCCAAGTATTAAAGCAACCAATTTTCAACCTGTTGAATACATGAGGCATGTTAGATCTTGCCAGTTTTTAGCACTTTTAGTTTACGTCAGGCAAAAGCCACGGATATCTTAAAAGAAAAGGAAATATGAAAATAGATGAAGCTAGAAGGTTGACAAAAAAAGCAAGCTTTCTTTTACTGACTATTCTAGAGAGGTGCAAACCCCTGCTATTGAATCACAGTCTGACAGCTACAGCTCTTTCAAAATACATCTAGGATAGGAGCTCAAACAAGGCCTACTGGCAGGCAGAATATTATAAGCAGGGATGTCCAACCTTGGCAATTTTTAAAACTTATAGACTTCAACTCCCAGAATTCCTCAGCCAGCATGGCTGGTTGGAGAATTCTGGAAATTGAAGTCCACAAATCTTAAAGTTGCCACGGTTGGGCACCCCTGTTCTAAAGCTTGAAAAAAGGCCTCTTATTGCACCTTATGCAATCTGTAGAAGTGGACAGGGACATCTTCCAGCAGACACGACTCCTTCACATACTTCAGAATTGCTTCTCTGGTTGTCAGCCCTTTCTGTTCTCGGTGCATCTCCGGTGCATGCTTCAGGATGTAGTCACTCCCCCGTTTGGCAATGATCTATCAGAAGGGGGGGGGGGAACCACAATCAGTAAATAAATTGACAGGAGAAGGCAGCTAAAATTCAACACATGATAATATTAAGGTAAAAGTTCTTAACGGCCAAACTTTGAACTCTGTTCAGTGCAAGGTGTTTGTGAGAATGCACTTTTTCATTTGCCCGTCTTTGCCAGAGCTTTTTCAGCTGCTCTTCCCGACTACGGAATACAATCTAAAAGGCCTGCCCAATGTCTTCGTTACAAACTCTTTAATGTTGTAAATATATATTTCCCAAAATATGTTAATCTACAGTTTTCTTGGTGCATTAAGGCTTTTATTATATACTTAACTGATTTCTTATTTTTAATGGGAAAATAATTAAAATATAGAGCACGTTGGCCTCCAAACAAGGTGAAGTGCTATATTCAAATGTATAAAAATACATTAAAATAAATACAAATAAGTACGCCTCTTTCTTCCCTAAAGGAGTTAGCTATTATTACTTGCCACATATGTGTAATAAGAACTTTCTAACTTTGTCTCTCTTTTTAAAGTACATAGCAAAACTGCTCAATAAATAATAATAATAAAAACATTTATGGCAGGTATATTTGTGATTTTCAAAATAATGTAAATTTAAGTAATGTAAAGGTTAATCTGAACTGGAGAGAAGTACAGCAGACATTAGATTTTTTTTATCCAACTGCAGCACAATAAAAATTGAATATGTAAAAGCTCTGTCTTCAGAGCACATTTTTGCTAACAGACTATTCTGTACAGACTTCACCACACAGGGACCTTCCAGATGTGTGTATTGCAGTCATCCAAATACTTAACAATGGCCATACTAATTGAATTTTGGCGATTGAAATCTGTGTACCTGGAGGGTGCCCAAGTTGGGGAAGTCTAACTTTGGGGAAGTTTTTGTTATCTCATCAAAATGGTTATAACTGATAATTGACCTAATGTCAGCAAACATGACTGTAGGGATGTTGAAAGAGCTCAGAATGCCCCAGGTATCTTAAGTCATCTTGGTGGGACTATTGCCCTAGATTTGAATCAACAGCTTCTTAGCTTTTCAAAGCTTTTCAAAGTGTGTGAATCCAGAAGAACGCCTCCTGCATGCTGGCCTCTATGACAGTTGGGTACTCTGTAAGAGAGTAATCTACGAAGGTTTAAGAAGTAGGGTTATGCAGATCTTCAAAAGAGTTCTTCAACTCCTCAGAAGTCTGAGCAAACACACCTTCAAAGCAATTCAGGGAAGCAAAACAATGGCCTCTCTTAATCGGCAAATCAGGGCCTCCCTGTCATTTTGCTAGCAGAAAAATAGATCAACCAAACAAAGTGGAAATAATCTCCACATATCCCCCTCCCATTAAAGGGGCACCCAAACGCAGGGATATTCTTTAATAGAGGAAGAAATGTTATCTAGGCTACACCTTGAACTCCTGGAGTAAAGGTGGGACAGAAATCTTATAAGTTGAAAGGCTGGTTGAAAGAAACTGATGGCAATGAGGAGAGGACAAGACTCACTGACCTCACCTGGCAGTTTTACACGTCACCTGGACACTTCTCAATCTATGGAGGTTGTACCTATCTTTCAACTGGAGATCTTTCTTCCAGCTTGATCAGCTTTTTTCTCTGTGGGTGACCCAGACTCTATGCAATTCTTAGCAGCTGCCCTATATATGATGCTGTTTGTTAGGGAGCTAGTCTGGATTTAGGGGGCTTTTACAACTGAGACCGACTATGCTCGCATTCTTCTGCCTAATCACCGTCTGACCTTTAAAAAGCCCTTAAGATCTACCTTGGACAAGAATTCCTCCTGAATATCCTCTTAATTAGAGGGAGGATCCCTTAGGCGGCTATGGTATGCCTGTTCTTTGTGTGCCTCATCAAATTTCACACAGTGTTAATTATCTGGCTGCCTGGGGGCTTGATCTTTCTTAGCTCATCAGCTCAGCGCCAAGAGTTTAGGAACCAGATTTCCAAACAAAATTGCTTGTTTGTTTGCTGCTTTTGGCCTCTTCCCCAACATCTATGACCATGATCATAATTCTTTGCTGCATGCTGCAACAATCCTGAACTTCGGAATCAACGGAGAAGTATTATATGCATAATCTCACTGCTATACCCGGATGACAGGGAGAAATATGTCCCACTGGATTCCAGGTCCCTTTCTGGTAGTAAATTACCTGTCTCATAGCATGCAAATAATAGCAATAGCATTTAGACCTATATACCACTTCATGGTGTTTTACAACCCTCTCTAAGCGGTTTACAAAGTCAGCATATTGCCCCCAACAATCTGGGTCCTCATTTTACTTACCTCAGAAGGATAAGAACAATGAGGTTTGGACTCTAGGTGTTTGCTAACACCAAAACTGGTTCTAAGAACAGATGCTACTCCTTTCCTTCATCACTTAGGTTAATTTTATTCTCAATAGAAAATAGCAATAGGAGAGAAAACCGTGGTTGACTGAGACTGAAGCACTGCATTAGGAAGATGTGTGCATGCATAATATTAAAACCATCCTTTCTTGATATATAAAATTCCCTTCGGACCCCTCAGGGATGTATTTCTGGTGGTTCAGCCTAGTTTCCAGTGTGTTCAGGAGAACAGGTTATGGCCAGTGAAGTATTTGCTTTCAGGAGAAATCCCTGTGTCCCCTGCAGTCTTAGTGACCTTATTGGATGAGGAATTTTCATGAAAGGCAGAAGATTTAAGAAGGTTGGTGATTAGGAAAAAGTTATTTCTGTACAATCTTCTTTCTCAGTGCCATGCCCCATTTTTCATTTTAAACATCTTCAGAAGCAGAAGCAGAACAGCCTGATCCAGTCACAGTTTTCTTCCATATAACATCAACCTTGTGTACTCTCTAGCTTCTTCTTTCCAATAAATATTCAAGATAGACAGTGATTTATATCTGTCTGTCTGTCTTTATTTATTTATATGTATTTATATGTATAGGTGTAGGTATATATGTACTGTGTGTATATAGCATGTGTATATGTGTATTATGTATGTGTACGCTTTTGAGAGCAGGCAATAATTTAATTTTTAATGTATGCCAGTGTGCCCACAGTAAAAAATAACGATAAAAGTTATCTATCTATCTGCTGAAGATCTGTAAGCAGAGATTCCAGAGAGAACTCCAGAGCTGCCATGAGAAAAAAATACATTTGAGTGGCTCATCCCACAAGGATGTGACCAGCATCAATTGCAGGATGAATTCAGATGACTTGTATTCTATCCAGGCAAAGGTGAAACAGGAATGCAAAGAAAGTGCAAAAGAAGAAAGATTCTTAAGCTCCTTTGAACTCACAATGCCTCAAAACCTAATGGTTTAGCTTTCGTTTCCAAACTCACCCACTGAGGGAAATATGTCTGTGGTTCAAAATAGTTTTCTCCATGGACATTATCTTTGTAGTCACCAAGGTCAACCTGCAGGCCATAAGCAGCCAGTAGGAAGTAGATTTCTTCTTTGTTGGTGCATCGCGACTTCAACACTTGTTCCCTCAGATGGCAGTAGTAATAATGCCGGGCCACTCTGTCACTGCAGAGGAGGGTAAGAATGAGAAAGAAGAAGAGGACAGACCATTAGTTAAAAGCAAAATAATAGAAGAAGGGAAAGGAGGACATGTAACCAATTTCCCATCATTAGAGGATTTTTGTATTGATGAACAATCAATTCCAATCATTTATTGTTAGTTATGTTGTTTAGGGCAGGGGTCCCCAACCACCGGTCTGCGGACCGGTACCAGTCCGTGGAACAAGTCCTACCGGGCCGCTGGCTTGCTGGGCACCGCCATCTTGTTTTGATGAAAAAGAGCTTTTCCGGGTAGAAAGCTCACCGGAAGCACTTTTTCATCAAAACAAGATGGCGGTGCCCAGCTGATGTCGGTACCGGGCCGCGCCATAAAAAAGGTTGGGGATACCAGGTCGCGGCGTAAAAAAGGTTGGGGATCACTGGTTTAGGGAATAGTCTAAAATCTTCCTAAAACCATCTGAGAGGCAGAGAATTACTCCTTGGATATTATTTAAGGCAACTTCTTTACTCAAGTTTCTGCTGAGGTACTGAATGACCATTTTTATTATTCTCAGCAACTTAATCAATAGAAGCAATGGCCATACTAACTATGAGTGAAGGGAATTTTAGCTATGAATTCAGGGAAGTCAGACCACTTTAGAAGTTTAGCTAAGGAACAAACCCTAAACTATTTTGAATAATTAGGCACAGAGGGAGAGTAATCTGAGAGAGAAGAAATCTATAGAGAGATGTATTCCATATTTTGTTGCCCTGATTTTAAGTGAAGGCTTTGAGGTTATATAGAGCAACTGTGCTACAAAGTTAATCTATCGTTCATCCTAGGAATATGTACTCAGCAAATCTCAATAAAGAATCTGGGTGCCATGTTCTATATTCACTGCCTTTCTGAGGATCAGGTTCCTCCTGGAATGAACAGCAAAATATCTTCTGATTTCAGAAGAGGGTTATGTCTGCTTCAGCCATTCCCCACCTAAAGCAGGCAGAAATGGCCCCGCCTAGAGCCCCCTGAGGCATGTCTACAGAGGCCATGAACATTCTTGTTGTGATTGGAGGTCCAGATCGGTGGTGGGATTCATTTTTTTTTTACTACCGGTTCTGTGGGTGTGGCTTGCTGGGCATGACAGGGGAAGGATACTGTAAAATCTCCAGTCAGAGGTGGTATTTGCCGGTTCTCCGAACTACTCAAAATTTCCGCTACTGGTTCTTCAGAACTGGTCAGAACCTGCTGACTACCACCTCTGGTCTAGATCATACATGGAGATAAATGAAGCAGCCTATGTAAATTCAAAAATCAACCCCTTTTGTAAAAAAAAGGGCAGCCCTTCTGGTTTTCCGGTAACAGGAGTGAAATTAATTCATCCCAAAGTAACCACAACCAAATGATTGTAGTGGTTGAGGCATCAGACTAGAAACTGGGAGGCCAGGAGTCCTTATTCCATCTTTAGCATGAATCATAGGCTTCTCAATTTCTCTCAGCTCTAGGGAGGAGGCAGCGGCAAACCACTTCCAAAAATGTTCAAGAAAACTCCAGAGACTTCTCCAGGCAGTTGCCATGAGCCATCAATGACTCAAAGGAAGAGAGAGGGGGGAGGAAGGGGGAGAGGGAGGGAGAGAGGACTCTAGGGAATTGACATTAAACTGAACGTATTTCCTTGTTACTGAGAAATATGATAAAGTTATTTTACCTCTGTCATCTCCACATTGTAACAATGGGCAGTAAAGAGGACAAGCCAGTCAATTGTGTACAAAAATGACCTCTGAGTGGCATTCTAAGGGGAGGGTTTCTTATAACAAGAAAAACAAAGAGACCATTTCAACATGAAGCTACCTTTCTAGGATTGTGGCTAAGGATATATACTTTAAGGAGTGCTCATAATTATAGAGTTTTGCTTTGACCAAAGGGCTTTGGAAAGCACTAAGGGATACTGTGAGAAACATTCTTATAAAAGCAGGGTAGAGATGCCCTTCCTTCAGCCCAAAGGAAAATAAGGAACAAAGTCTTGTTGAGCTCTAAATTTTAAATGATTATGTGAATGCAAAGGATAAGCTTTAATTTAGGCCTTTCGAAAGTTTTGGCTAACCCAAGGACACAAATTCAGCTTGCAGTGTGGGACTATCACACAAATGTATTCTGTTACTTGCCCATTTGGAATGGAACCACCTTTTGAAACAATGTCTGTTGCTTGCAAGCTGCATTCTATAAGAATCAAATCTGCCCCAAGTTCTATTTTCTTTTTCCTCTACTCCTACTTTTTTTTATTCACTAATAAAACTAAGCCTCCCCCAGCCCCCCCCCCAAAAAAAATCTGTAATTAGATATGAGTAGAAGATAAATTGTTTGTAATGTTGTCAAATTTTATTACATTTTAGTATGAAAATGAGGTAGCTGATAAAGAACATCTGGAAATATTCTATGCTTTACACATCTGCTGTGCTTCCTCAGTAGCATGTCTGCAATGTATTGTCCATTCCTAGATCAGGGGTACTTCAGATGGTCCCTCATGTCCTGATCATGTCATGGCTTGACTACTGAAATGTTCTCAATGTGTGGCTACCCTTGAAGACCACCCAGAAGCTTCAATTGGTACAAAATGTGGAAGTGAGCAGTAATGGCAAGTAATGTGGGTATTTAGACCTTCCAGACACAAGGTTCTTCCATCTTTAGCTCTGGATGGGTTTGTACTACTCCAGACACACCTGGCGTGCAATCCGAGAGTCCTCCTAGACTCACAACTCCTGGTCAAAGAACAGCTGGCAGCCGTGGTTAGGAAGGCCTTTGCACACCTTGGAGTGGTACGCTAGTTGTGCCCATTTTTGGACCAGGAGGTTTTACTCATTATAACTCAATGCCCTTTTAACATCTCATTTAGACTACTGCAACATGCTCTATGTGGGCTACCCGTGAAGAACATTTGGAAACTTTAACTGGTGCAAAACATGGTTGTACAGGCAATAAACGATTCCAAATATACAGCACGCATTGCACCACTTCTGCATGCATTGGTTGGCAGTGAAGTTTCCAGACGCAATTCAAGATGCTGGTCGTCACCTTTAAAGCTCTACACGACTCCAGACCAGGCTACTTGAGGGATCACCTTTTTCTAAGAATCTCTAGCTATCCCAGTTGATCCTAGCAGAATGAGCATGCTGCAGATCTCATCAGCCAAAGGGTATTGGCTGGCAGGATTTTTTTTTCCCACAGTGGCTCCTTTCTATGGAATATCCTCCCTCTGGAGATTAGAATGGTCCCAACCCTGTTAGCCTTTTGTAAGGACTTAAAAATCTGCGTATGTTCCCAAGCCTGTGTCAACCCCCTACCACCTTTACCTTTATTGCTAACTGGGCAAGTTTTTCACCTACTACGTATATTTATTTTGGATATTTTTATTGTGTTTTAATTGTAACACATTTTTTGAACCGTAAGCCACTCATACTACCTGGTTACTTAAGAGACCATGCATCTCCCATAATATCTGCCTAGCTGGGTAGATAGGTCCAAAATTCCTTTGATTAAACAATGTCATCTTTCAGGATCCCATAACTATACTTTTAACAGCATCTGCCCTCTGGAACAATGTTCTCTCCAAGATCCGGATGGATCCCGCTTTGCTGTTATTTAGAAGACTCATGAAGCCCTTCTGCCTTTGGCAAGGGAGAGTGAGACCCCTCACACATACACATACTTTGCTTCCTATATTTTCTTTATTTTTATGTTTTAGTGACTTTATTTAATTTATTGGATGGTTATAAGCTTTCCCATAGTCATACAGAGTTGTGCAACATACAAGTTTTATAAATTATTATCATTTTTATATACACAAGAGAGTGTTGTACAGGTGAGCTGGACTGCCCACAGGTATATGTGTTGTACCTGCCTATATCACCTTAAGTATGATTCATTTTTTTCTGAAATCAGGCAGCAGTAACCATGTGAATCAGGAAAAGACCGCGCTTCTTTGGATTTGATTTCAAATGATGCCCACGTGTGTGAGGTGTATTCTCACACATGGTAAATATCACCTTTTCCTTTTCAAATCCAGATCACTGCACAACCCTGGTGGAGAATGCAGCTCTATTCAAGGTGTGTGCACAGGTGTTTCCATGCACCTGCCATTCATACTTTCATGTTTGCTACACAAAAAAAGCTCTGCAGGTTTGACAACAGGCCATTATAGGCAATACAGTTAATGAAAGAATTAATCTAACTTCTATTGTGGAAAAGAAGCACCTTCAGAACTCTCTTGACAGTTTGAAAAGAGGCAACATTTTCCTCTTCAGGTTACTAAACCAGCCAAAGTCATATATAGAACTACCTTAATCAAAAATAGAAAACCAGATTGCCATTTACAGAAGATGTCACATGTGATGGAACAATGATTTAGTGCCAAACTATTATTTTGTGTTTGACAGCGGGGCTAAGCTACTTGAATCCAACACATTCACAATCCATCCCCTCCTAAGCAAACTGGCTACAGAAAGCTAAATACGGCATTATATTAAACAGAAGAACAAAAGGGTGAACATTGATGTAGAGGGTTTTTTTTTTAAAGTAATAATCAATAGTACCTTATAACTCGTCCATTTTCTACATAATACTGTACTCTGAAGAATGCAACCAAAGGAGGGATGAACTTTTCTGTTCCCTTTGAAATAAAAACAGCAAAAGAGAAGTCAAACAACTTCATCCATCCATCCATCTATCTGTCTATCCATCTGTCTATCTATCATTTATCTATCTCATTTATAGGTGTTCCTGGTCACTCAAAACTATCTGTCTAATTCTTTCACAGTTTTATTCTCAGTCCATTTTGAAGCTATGCAACCATCAATGGAATGGGTTCAACTCTTGTGTCTACTGACACAATTGATCCCAAACAGAGGATCCCAAACAGCAATCTGCAGCTTATATTTATAAAAAGGATTAAACTATCTCTGAGCCTTGCTCTGCACTAGTTTGATTTTTTTATAACAACAGAGATTAAAATTGTTTTAACTAGAGCCAGATTGTACTGGATATCTGCCCTTCGATTTTTAAGTGAAATACAAGGAAAACCAAAAGAAATAATTTTCTATCAACAGGCACCTATCTGCCTGGGCTTTCCAGTAAGTGATAAATACCTGTGTGTTGATGCTTACTTGTATTTTATTTACACCTTTATTTTAAAATATTAAACTCTTATACTTTAGTCTCTGTCTTTTTTAATCCTGATTTCTGGTAGACCCTACATAATCAAACCCACATATTTAACCAGGTATGTTCCAGCCAACATGAAAACATGGCTGCCAAAGTAGGTAGATAAACTGATAAGGATACATTATACTTAAGTCCCTAATGTTTATGGCAGTGGTACCACAAACAGTGAAGCCTAAATTTAAATAACATAAATAAATAACGACTGAAAAACCTTGCTGTACTTACAGCAAAACTTTGCAAATATAGAACACTAAATATTGGGACAAAAACAAGCCATGATATTTTGCATCAGTTTCTCGCTGAATGACATATTTCCTCAACAATCACCAACGTACATTTATATTTACCAAAGGGCTTATTTCTGAGTAGAGAGGCAGTGTGGCATAGCGATTACAGTGTGGATTGGCACTGGGAAGGATCCAGATACAAGTCTACTTGTAGCTAGATCCAGATACAAGTTACCCTACCTCAAGGGATTATTCTTGTAGAAAAAAGAAAGAAAGAATACCACATACACATATGCATGCACAGAGACCCATTTTGGTCTAGTGCTTAAGGCACCAGGGTTGGAAAGCAAGAGACCATGAGTTCAAGTCTTGCCTTAGCCATGAAAGCTACCTGGGTGACTTTGGGCCAGTCATCCTCTCTCAGCCCAACAGTTTCTCTCTCAGCCCAACAGCCCTAAAGTTGTTGTTGTGGGGAAAATAGGAGGAGGAAAGTGTGTTGGATATGTTTCCTGCCTTGAGTTATTTGCAAAAACAACAACAACAAAGGCAGACTATAAATACACACACACTGTTGCCTAGGAGTTTGAATAAAAGTCAAAATGTAAATCTAACAAATACCTAAAGGATAGGATTGCATTGTTAGAATTTCAGAATGCTCCAAGAAAAGAAAAGAAATCACTGCAGCAGACAAATGTATGTGGAGTACAAAACTGACATTGGACCCAAGTTATAATTAGCTTTAGTTCAATCAGATGCAGTTTCAGCAATACAATACAGGAAAGAATTCAATGCTACAAATACACACTGAAGGACTTACTCTGCTTCCTTCTTTCTTCCACTCCTTTACAAAATATTTACAAAGCTTCTGCTCCAGATCAATAAATACATATTCATTATCTGAAAAGGAGAGAGAATAAATGGTAGGAGGGAACACGTGAAATTATTTAAATGCTCATAATTTTATATAAAGAGAAAATTAAATATACAATTAAACATTTTGGAATGTGTTCTGTTTCCCTGCCAATGGAATAATTAAAATGTCCAAACAGCCTTTGATGGATCTCTGTGATTTTGGGTACTATTCATGGCAGAAAAAAATTGGAACAAACCTGTGATACATTTTATGAAATTGTAAATTTACCATATACATATAAATGTTAAAATTCATTTTACATAGCCATCCACCCTCCTGCCAGAATAAATATCACTGTAAGGTGAAACTCTGTATTGTATGAAGACAGTATATTCCAACTTGTAATTTTCCAGCTATATACAAAGACACAGGAAGCCATAGCAGATACGGGTCCAATATAACACAAACAATTTCATCAGGTGGCTGATGATTTATCAGGACCACAATCACCTGGAGCAGGGGTCTCCAACCTTGGCAACTGGCTGAGGAATTCTGGGAATTGAAATCCACAAGTCTTAAAGTTGCCAAGGTTGGAGACCCCTGATCTGGAGGGTTTCTGTGGGTTAGGATGTGGCTGTAATAATCTTACTATAATCTCTCCATTTCCCTGCTAAGAAAAGTTGATATTTCCTAGGAACAAATCTCCCATTGGTATTAATGAGGAAGTTTTCCTACAATTATTAGTTCATGGGAAAAACATTTCAGAACTGAAAAAAGGAAGAACAACTCCCCTTAAACTCTTTTGGCAATGATCTCATTAATTATCAGCTTGCTTCCCAGCTAAAGTTGCTTAGGTCTAGGGGGAAACTCCCTGTTATGCTTTATGTGGGTAATATGTTAGGGTAAACCAACCTTCCTTCCTTCCTGCCTGCCTTTCCTCCAGTGGTGGGATTCAATTTTTTTGATCAGTTCTGTGGGAGTGGCTTGGGGGGCATGGCAGGGGAAGGATGCTGTAAAATCTCCCACCCCACTCCAGGGGAAGATTACTGCAAAATCCCCATTCCCTCCCCACCTCACTAACCTGCTTTCCAGCTCCGTTCTCCTATGTAGGGAAACAAAAGAAGACCCAGCCGATCAGCTGGGACTCGGGAGGCAGAGAATAGATGGGGGCGGGGCCAGTCAGAGGTGGTATTTGCCAGTTCTCCGAACTACTCAAAATTTCCGCTACCGGTTCTCCAGAACTGGTCAGAACCTACTGAATACCACCTCTAATTCCCTCCCTGCTCCCTCCCTCCCAGCCTGAGCTTTACCTGAGAGATTAGCTCCCGTTTTGTTAAGAATTGGCCTTTGAGACTATTTTATACCTAAAGAGGAATTTAGGTATTTAATTGCTTGGGTTGGGGAAGGATTGGGAAGACCAAACATAGGAGCCAAGCAGGATTTCTTTGCACCAAAAGTCAAACTTCAGTGACTCACTAAGCCATTTTGAAATGTCTGTAAACACCAAGTGACCTGCCTGCCCTCCTCTGCCAAGTACTCCCCCCTCCTTTTACTTCTCCATCCCCAAACTGTCCCCAGTCTCACCCTGCAATTGCAGCCTTCGTGCAGGAATGCAACCTTACATTCCAACTCTAATGAGGTTAATGTTGTCAAAATTCCAACTTGCAGGGTAATCCTCCGGCTACAAAACCCCCACAGCTCAGCTGTCCCCCCCCCCACCTTTCACAAGAAAAGCAGCGTGCAAGAATGTGTATTTCCAAGATTAAAGGTAAAGTTATAGATCCTTGTCAAGTGCTTAGGTTTCCTTCTCTTTTGGAGGAGGAGGGGAGATACGTTCTCCCGCAAAAAAATGGCACCTGAATGCTCATTTAATTAAGGTGCCCTGTTTGGTAGGTGTGTGTGTGTGTGTGTGTGTGTGTGTGTGTAGGGGAGAGGGAGAAGGCTGGCCTGCAAATAACTGATACCAAGTGTAATAACTGATACCAAGTGCTGAAAGCATCCCTATTCAACAAAATGGTGGGGGGAGGGTTTGATTTCTGTCCATGGCATGGCCACAACCACAAATGACAGCTCTTCATCCATTCTCTTTCCAACCAAGTCTGATGCCATTGGGAACATGGCCAGTTATAATCTCCCATCAGATTCTTCTGACCAAAAAGGGAGACCATGGCAGAAATCAGAGTAGGGTGAAAGTAAACCCTTTAGAAATAATAATAATAATAATAATAATAATAATAATAATAATAATAATAATAATAATAATGCACAAGAAAGCCTCCTCGGAGGTCATGTCTAAACCCCATTGATTCAGCGTGACTGGACAGTGCAGATTTGGAAGAAAAACTGATTTTTAAATATGCATGTGACTTCTTGGGAAATCACAAATGTAATTCTGAAGTGTGCATTTCTCATTTTAAATGACAGGTGAATAACAAGTTTCATCCAGAGAAACTCTCCGAATTAAAGTCTCTTTGTTTCTCCGTGTCATATAATATATGCATAAAGTATATGCATAATTTTGTATTTGTTTAGTTTTTATTTATTTTATTCATTTTTTTAATTTATTTTGTCCTGTCTATATAGTATATATTAGAGGTGGAGACCCTTTGGGAGCTGTTTGCAATGAAATTTCATTTTAATGTATGCCAATTAGTGTACATTCAAAGTGACAATAAAGTTATTCTAAGTCTAAGTCTCATTTTAGTCTAGGATTGTACCTGGTGGGCAAGGTTCAAACTGTCACATATATAGGTACTTTTGCATTATATTCACGTGTGCAAAATCTCTATTTTTGAACACAGAGAACTCAAATTTATATTGAGATGCAAACCAGGGAGGAAATAATGTATTTTTGAGGGCCAAATCCTGATCCTCCTGTTTAACTATTAATTTCTACAGTGAATAAAATATGGCAAAGGATTATTATGTTCTTACTGATGCTAAATGAATTGGGATAAAGAAGAAGTTAAACAACTGATAATCATTATCTTGGGTCAAAAGAGATAAATTGAATAGGGATTATTAACACATAAAGGTTAGATAACCACTCTCTAGACATACCAGGCCCACTCATGGTGGGCTTTTATCCCAGGTATGGAAATATTTGAGCTTCCATACGTAACCCCTGCTACAGGGTCACTGACTTCAAAACACCAAAAACATCCCCTCCTCCCAGGGACATCAATTACATAGAAAAGAAAGCAGAGGCAATGCTCAAATAAAAATCCTGATCCCGGGTTTTCAGACTTCAGTCCCCGTATTCCTTTGCCATTGGCCATGTTGACTGAAGTTGATTGAAGCCATAACTTTGAAGCATATCAAACTGTCTACAGCTGACATGCAAAACCTGAGAGTGCTCATTATATTTTGAGGGAGACTTTTTTTTTAAAAAAAAATTCACAGTAATATTCTGACATTTAAGAGAGGAAATACTCATATAATGAATGAATATTTGTGGAGAGAAAACAAATTCCACATAACAGTCCACCCAGTGTCTACAAAACACTGGCTGAACCAGACATCCAAACACCGAGGGTCAGTTTTCTCTTATAGAGTCTCTTTTTGAATTATATCACATGCAAATATTCCCAGGGTATCAAGGTGATGAGGATTAGCTACAAAAATGCTGTTTAATATGTTGGAATGATTTGTAAGCCTTTCCCATGGCATAATTTAATAAAGTTCAAAGTCCTTCAGATTTTTGTAGAAACAACATTCTTTGTAAGTTATGAAAGAAACTGACTTTGTGATGACTTTGCAAATAGTCAGCCTTGTTACACAAACAATGCTTTAAATTCTACCTAGAGGTGAAAAGAAAAGTTGGCAGAAAGAATAGCTGAAGGTAGGAAAGGAGAAGGAGAAAGAAAGAAATAAGTGCAAATAAAGAGACTCCTCCCTTATCATATATGTATGTTCACAGGTCAGTGATGGAAGGATGTTGAGATGTCTTTCATGCCCATTTAGGTACAGGCTATGGATAGTTGTCAAATAATTTATCTTACTTTTTACAACGCTGATGCCAAAGAAGTGAGGGTCTTTAATTTTCAGTACATCACAAACTTGATCAAAGAGTTCCTGTCCTGTGGCTTTTACCTACAACACAAAAATAGTATTTAAGCAGTTTAGAGTAGGATATTTCAAGTCCACCACAACTATGAATTCCTTTGCATTAAGGAATTGCAGATATGAAAGGAACACAGTGCTACAGAGTAAAGTTGCGGATCATTGAAGCATTTATGGTAGGATTCCAGGGCAATGATTATTATTTGAATTATTTTTCACTGTAACCAAAGGCCTTAAATTAGCTTAATACAATATTAATTTATAAACACTTTAGCAATGAATCATGATATTACTATATAGTAAAACAATGATGTACAGTATTGTGTGATATCCTGCTATGTTGTTGTACACCTGAAGGATATGACAAACAGTGGGCATTTTATATATCAGAACACTGTGATCCACTGCTTTGGTTTACGCAGTGCACCAAGCCAAAATGTGATTTGGTTGGTTTAGATTAATTTGTTCTATGAGTCTAATCATCTATGAGTTGAGTATAACTAATCAATTAATATTATAATGATTCAACATCTCAGAATTTTTATGTTCTTCGCTAAGAGTTAGTGCTCAAGAGAGTTGCTAATTTCCTATTTTTGAGAACCATTTTGTGCAATTAGGAAGAAGAGAGAATTAATCCTGTTATCTCCTTTCTTCTATTTGGAGAACATAGCTGGGTAGGGGAAATTAATTTAACCCAAAACAATCTTGGGGCTGCTGTGCCCACTAACCTCAGTGATGAATTATAGCATTTGCATAATCTCACCCATGTCACGTATGCACAGCCATTCTTTCTGTATTGTTTCCCAGGTTAAACATACAGAAATTATTTTATTGCAAACAGTGAAAAAGCCTTACAGAATACTGAAGAGCTGTCTACTCCAGAACATAGTAATTAAGCCCTACACATCTATGCCAGCCCAAAGTTGAAATCCTAAGCCTTTTCACACTGGCCTTTCAAATTAATAGACTTTGAACATTGTTTTCTATGGTACCTCTTTCATCTTTATACAATGGTTCAACATGGCCCAAGCATTGCTGATTCTTGCCTCAGTAGATCCATACTCTACAAATCCAGGGGTATTTAAAAGGGTTTTAATTACTTAATTGGCCAAGGTGGCAGAGGCTTTAGGTCTAGAAATTATCTGCAGGTGACCAGGTTAGCAATAGCACTTAGACTTATATACCACTTCACAGTGCTTTACAGCCCTCTCTAAGCAGTTTACAGAATCAGCATATTGCCCTCAACAATCTGGGTCCTCATTTACCTAGGTTACCCATTCTTGCTTTCCAATGAATTCTGTTTTATATTTAATGCATGACAAGTCATGGCCTTGATCTGAAACCAACAAAGCGAGGTTTGAAATTGAAGTTTGTCCTAATTGTATGTTACTGCTATGTCTGAATTAACACCCTTTCCCTTTTGACTAGACTTCAGCTCCATCTCAGATAACTTTTATATCTGCTTCACCACAAGAATACAGAATCACACAGATGGAAGTGAAGTATGAAGCTTTGCTTCTATAGATGGAAAACAAAAGAACCAAACAATGGAAAACTGTTAAACACACCATATTTTCAAAGCCATGCAAAAGAGAACCCAGCCATATCTTGATTCTCATCCTATACTCAATGATGCCCGGAGGAAAAAATGAGGAAGGAATGATAATTCCTAATTCTGAACAATTACAGAAATGGCTAAACATCAGTATTTACCTCCAAGGGAGATAATCCATTGTTACAAAAGGGAAAAACTGGTCTGCTTCCCTTATCATATTCTCAACAATTATAAAATGACACTCCCATTTTAAGGGGAAATTATACAGGGGAAAACCCTTTTAAGCAAATAATGAATAAAAATAAATAAATAAATAAATAAATAAAAATCAAAAGGAAATACTACATTCAGTACTATGCATCAGCATATTTACTGTTTTTCTTCACAATTTTTGCAGAGATTACTATATCGACAAACAAGATTCTCTACCAGAAATGCAATGTTATGTAAAGGCCCTTCCATTTCTTTTTAAAAATGGATATACCCCACCCAGATACTGCATACTGTTTCTCATAAAAACTATTTAAGTTGTTGTTAAATGGATGTGTATCAGTGGTGGGATTCAAATAATTTAACAACCGGTTCTCTGCCCTAATGATTTCTTCCAACAACCAGTTCACCAAACTGCTCAGAAAGTTAACAACCAGTTCTCCCGAACTGGTGCGAACTGGCTGAATCCCACCACTGGGTGTGCTGCTCTTCCACCTTGTTTCTACAGGGTGGTTTACCATTTTCATGGCTCTAGTCAAAATGACAGTGAAAAGCGTCCAGAAAAAGCACATTTGATACAGGCAAATAAATGTGGAGAAAAGGATCTTGGACAACTTCTGAAAAATCATTTTGAAACTATCATATAATCTAACCTCAGGGAGAGATAGAAACTTGAATATCACTGCACTAAAACAAAGTGAGGGGAAGAATGAAATCAAGTGTTAATTTAATTTCACTCCTTTTACAGTAAAAGTTTTGCCCGATTTTATGATCTTTCTTGCCACATAGTTGTTACTAACGTATCAATTGCCACTGCAATTGATACGTTAGTAACCTGGTTGTTAAAGTGAATCTGGCTTCCCCATTGACTTTGCTTGTCAAAAGGTTGCAAACTGTGATCACATGACCTTGGGACACAGCATGGTCATAAGTATGAACCAGTTGCCAAGCACCTGAATTTTGATCGTGAGACCATGGGGATGCTGCAAAGGTCGTAACTATGAAAAATGGTCATAAGTCGCTTTTTTTCACTGTGGTTGTAACTTTGAATGGTCTTTTTGAATGGACTACCTGTACTGTACCTGTACTGTGGGAATCATAGGAAATTTGAATATTTTAAGCATGTTTCCAATTAAATAGATTTCTCATTTTTAAGGAACAATTTCTAAGAACATGTACTGTAACTACTGAGATAATTTGAAAGCAGAAAACTTTAATATGAAGCAAGATATGAAATACAAGGTGGCCATAAATTTTTAAAAAATCTTATTTTAAACTGGAGGGAACCATATTTTAGACTTTCTTACATTCTATATCGTAAGTCATGATGTAGACCTATGTCCCTCGCAAAGGAACGTAATCCTCCTACCTAAACAAAGTGAACATGTATAGCAATATGAATATAACACATGCATGCAACTCTTTAAAGCAATCATGTATTTTTTTCAGAATCAAAAAGATGCTGTGGAGAAGCTGCTTTTGTAGCCATGCAATCCTGAAATCAGACATTCCTGAAATTCAGCTATGGGAAGAGGAGGGAACATCATATTAGAAGCGGAAATCCACTCTAGGTAGTTTCCTATGGCTGATCCAGAGGTGGTATTCAGCAGGTTCTGATCAATTTGGAAGAACCAGTAGCAGAAATTTTGAGTAGCTTGGAGAACTGGCAAATACCACCTCTGACTGGCTCTACCCCCATCTATTCTTTGCCTCCCAAGTCCCAGATGATTGACTGGCTCTTCTTTTGTTGCCCTGCACAAGAGAACAGAGCTGGAAAGAAGGTTAGTGGGGTGGGGAGGGAATGGGATTTTGCAGTATCCTTCCCCTGGAGTTGGATGGGAATGGAGATTTTACAGTATCCTTTCCCTGCCATGCCCACCAAGCCACGCCCACAGAACCGGTAGTAAAAAAAATTGAATCCCACCACTGGCCTGTTTTGACTCCCTCCCCCAGAAAACAGTATGATGAGCTCTACACAGAAGCTAGACTTCAAACAGGTTTAATATTTGTTGAGATATTCAGTTACAAAGCTAAGCTGAAGAACTCTGTTTATAAAGTACAAGTTGAATCTACTCATAACGGTTATTATTATTACAAATTCACAAAGATTACGAATTCATTTGTACCCATGGCAGTTTACTGAATAAAGTATGAGGAGGAAAAGTTCAATTTAAGAAATGTATATGCAAAGTTAGACCACTCTCCCAGAGATAATGGCATTACATCCTTCATTTCTACCTACACAGTCAGTGTTCAAAGTGGGTCCATTTTGATGAACTTTAATTAAGTGTTTTAAGTGCAGCAATTTGAGGATGAGATAAATAGTAGAAGTATGGGAAATTGATAATAAAATGATGATACAAGAGGAGAAACAAAAAAAATAAAATAAACCAGCTAGAGTTTGGTTTAAGATAAAGGGCTATACACATGGTATAGGTAAGTAGTAAGTGCTAGATCAGTTCACCTCAGGATGTGCATTATAACACATAAACACCAAAAGAGGAAAAAACTGTTTTGAATATCCAGCATTAAAAAATTATTTAGAAGCAAGCAATCACAATGTATGAAGCCACTTAAACAGATGAGCTGCAAAGGCATTAGGAAATTCAACAACATTTTTGGCTATTTATGTTGGGTTTTTTTTTAATGCTTTTTGAAGGGCCACGTTATTCAAAACCGAAGCGGGAAAATGAATTATAGTCCTTTGACAGTTTACTCTGAACACACAGCTCCATGTTTTAGATGATTTTAAAGTGCCCAGTAAGCTTCCCATACTTTTCTTTCTTTGATACTTTTCTCTTCAGTGACAGAACAGATTAAAAAAGAAAGAAATAAACAAGTCTGTGCATGACTAGAAGTAGCTGAAAAAGTGTATTTTTTAAAGGGAATCTACCTAAACAGGTGTATCTTGCACTTAAAAAAACACATGCAAATCATGAAGTTTAACTTCAGTGATAACAATTTTTATTAAAATACAAATCTTTAAAAACATGAAAAACCTGGGCATTCAAACCTGCAACACTATAGAAGTACACAATTCCATTGATATCTCTAATAGGCATCATAGATTCCAAATTACTTCATTCTCTACCTTACTACCTGCACTACATTTCAACTTTTATTTTCCTACAAGGGAAAAAATTCTCAGAATATAGTGCTACATAATTTTGTTGGAAGATATACAGGATAATAACACTTGCAAAGTATGATTCCCCAGGTCTACCATGTTGAAAAATTAACACAATGAAATCAACAGCCTCCAAGCAAAAACTTTTTTTAGTGTTCCAACACTACGAAAACATCAAATAAATATGAAAAGAAGTTTCAGAAGAAACAGATCCAACTTATGCTAATATGGATCCATTTTTAAAAGAAAATGATTTTTCAGCTTACAAGCTTTTTTTTTCCAACTTGCAACTCCACAAAAACTCTAGTATATTCCTCACACTCTCTAAATAACACAGGTACCTATCTGTGTTATTCATAAGGATTCCTGAAACAAGTTTAGATACACTTACCCCAACAGTCAAACTGAGCTGGTCTCGATCTGGCAGAAGGACACAGACATTCCTAAAATCCAAAGGCATCTTCTTTGGTAATAGCTGTTTGCTCATTGCAGAACTGGTTGTAAACTTCTCATACCGCTCCGTCAAGTAACAACGCTGCAATCAGGAATCGAGCCAACTTTGTTGGGATTTTTTTTTCTCTTCAATCTGAGGAATAAAAATCCTAAGAATGAAAAGGCTGCATGGTTTCGTAGCAAGAAGCCTATATATTAAACAAGGATTCTTCGTAGCTTCATTCTAAGAACCAGCTCTAACCACCAAACGTCTCTCTCTGAGCTCTGGCATAGTTATAACTAATCTTCTCATTAGTCAGCTCTTTTACTGATTAGCAGCTGGTTACGTTACACAGTAGGTGGAAACACTAACCAGCTGGGAAATTTATCTCAGGGAGGCCCAGGAAAGTGGCATCCACAGGCTTGCATTCCCTTCTTCTGAATCAGCTACTTTATCCTGTGTGCCAAGAATCATAATCCAGAATTACTGGTGGCTGGTTTTTTTTTCCCACTCACACTTCCCTATGCGATACTCAGCTTTTTCAAAGCAAATACCTGAGTCATTGGAAAGATACACAAAGAAAGCAGCGTAAGGGGCAAGCGTAAGGGGCAATAAGAATAAAGGGGAAAACAATTACTTAGACCATTGGACCCTAGATTAGAAAGTCATTAGTAAATAGCATTAAAGATGACTCAGAAGAGGGAGCAACCATGTGTTTCTGTGGGTTTTAAAGTATTAGTGGAAGTATGTGGGGAGGTTTTTCCTTTTAATCTAGCACCTGATTTCATTGGAACAGGTGGGAAATGAGGCATGCAGTAGAAATGCCTGGTGCTATGTAACATGACACCATTGTGTTAGTATCTCTAAAGTATACAGTGCCTCTACACATGGCAGTATTTAAGCAGGGATAAGTTAATCCTTCAATATGAGAGCACAAATAATCAGTGTTTCTCAACCTTTTAAGATGAGTGGACTTCAACTCCCAGAATTCTCCAGCCAGTATGGCTGGCTGGAGACTTATGGGAATTGAAGTCCACCTATCTTAAAGTTGCCAAGGTTGAGAAACATTGATACTGTTGGATAAATGAGCAAAAGACTGTACTGTAACCAATGAAAGGGACTGGGGGACAAATCCGTATTTTCTGTTTGGACATAGTTAAAACTCTTTCATTGTTAAAAATGCCCTGTAACTTTTGCACTGATCATTGTTGCTCCATTGTTGCTCCATTTTACCTAGTCAATAATTCTTGATTTGCAACACACAAACAGAAACCTATTGGATCCGCTTTCTATAGTACATGACAACTTCATATCCGAAATGAAAATTAATAGGTTTTTTTCTTTCATATTTCCACTTTATGAAGACACTGGATAACAATGTCTATTTTCTCCTTTGACCTTTAAAATTTGTCTGGAACCCCAGTGTGTGCTATTAGACACGATTAAATTATTCATGGTTTATATTTTAATTCTGCAGAATATAAATTACATACCAATGATATTTTATTGTTGATCTCTATGTTCCATGCTTCAGTTTTAGTTTCAATGAATTTAATAATATGATTGGGAAAACAGCAGGATATGGAATTAACTGAGCCAATTCAGAATTTATGTCAATAGGTAAAAATCCCTTCATGAATTTATTAAGCAATTATCACTTTAAGATGTGCAGTGAATATGTTAACTGTCTTGGAGTTCAAAACTTTTCCTTTGGAGCAAGATTGATACTCATACAATGAATGACATATATAT